AATGCGGGCTATTTCCATCGAAAAGTGTTCCCCGAAAGNCGATACGAATTCCGCCTCCGGCTTGCACCGACCACAGTGCTGACGTTAAATATTCTCAGTGGTAGACGGATCATGGGTTAGAGTCCCCTTGTCGTCAGACTAACCATCGGAGGTTCTCGTGGTTTTCCTCTCCATGTAACGCAAAATGCGGGTTATTTCCATCAAGAAGACATCCACGAAGGCAAATTTCTCCCAATACTTGATCCAGGAGTTCCCTTGTCTTCTGGATTGGGTTCAAAATTACAGAGCTGCGGAGTTGAACATTAGTAGTCGTAAACCCATAAAATTGGGTCAATTGTTCAACGACGGTTTTAAAATAAAATAAAATATATTGTATACAGAGTCGCGATTACTCGGGAGATAGAGCGTTCGTCCTCCAAAGAGGTAAACCGGGTTCGAATCCCAGCGATGGCTGGTCGATGCGAATTCTGTATCCGGCTCTCACCGACCACAGTGCTGATGTGAAATATCCTCAGTGGTAGACTGATCATGGGTTAGAGTACCCTTGCGTCAGACTAACCATGGCAGTTTCTCGTGGTCTTTCTCTCCACGTAAAGCAAATGCTGGTTAGTTCCATTAAAAAGTCCTCCTCGAAGGCAAATTTTTCCCAATACTTGATCCAGGAGTTCTCTTGTGTTCTGGATTGGGTTTAAAATTACAAAACAACGGAGTTTACTATTAATAGTCGTAAACCTAAAATTGGGTCTGCTGTTCACGACGGTCATAAGAAAATTTCAAAAAAAATATATTGTATACAAATTGTGTTATTAATGAATTCTGAGTTGTGTCTTCACATTTATATACACTAACTACACATGACAAAAAAAAATAATGTTATTCGTAGAACTATAATAAACATAAACTTTTTCGAAATGCGCCTGAATTATTCAGTGCCTTTGGCATTTCTCAAGTCAAAAATTTACCCCTTTTAAATATGTTGAAAAATTTAGAACAGTAGAAGTTCATTAATACAATGTGAAAGATGTATGACCAAAAGTAGCATAATATGGTAAAATTTACTGTGCTTTTGGCTCTATGGGAACATCGGAAATCTTTACGGAAATTTTTACCGAAGTACTATGATAAAGATTTTACAATGATACCTTAGATCAGTTGCATAAAAACCATTTATTCAGTTAAAGTTACGTTTCAATTTTGTATTTTTTACTAAATGTATTGTAATAAGACAAATAATTTTGAAAATCCGAATTTCCATTAAATCGTTACCACATGATTGGAAAAATTACCAAACGAATGACCGCATATTTGGTTTTTAAACAGAATAATGCCTTTTAACCAAAGATATCATTATCATACAGTGCGGTAATTCTCTATGTAAGTTTAACCTCTCGAACTATTAAAATTGAATCCCAAACCATTAAAATTAAAATCTATTGGTTTAATTAACTAATTTAATGATTTAAGTCATCTATAAACAGTTAAATAAAATCATTAATCTCACACATATGGGATAATCCGATCTGTAGATCAAAAGTTATTAGAGCGTTTTGATTTTATTTTTAGCATATTAAGACAATTTGAGATAAGAAGAAGTTCTAAAATTTACTTGCCCACAGAGTATTCATAATCTACAATCGCCATAAACATAATATTCCCAAACGAATGAAATAAAATTGGTATATTAACTAATAATCGATTTCAGAATGTATGATTTCTAATTAGATTAGAATATATCATTTCTAATCAATATTTTTTCATACAGTGTACATATTACAAATGTATACATAAATGGCTATTCATACTGTGTATATATTGCATTTAAAACAATTCAGCATTAATGGTTTCATATGAATATATTTCAAATTATTTTACTCTTAGAATATTTTAACGCAGAATATAACAAATATTTTTAGGCTTACCTATGTTAAACTTACTTATTTAAGCATCGACTACATGGGGAAAGGGAAATACTGCTCATAATAAAGTTGAGTACATAAGCAATGATATTAATTAAAATTAAAATGCTAAATTGACTCACCCAGAATAACAACTATCCTGTGCATATAAAGAGTTTTGACTCGTTCATAAACTTTTATTACTTACCGGAAAATGTGCGCAAGAGTTCCTAGGTCTTATTTAATAAGTATTATATGAATTATTTGATTAAATTACTAGATGAGGAAAGTATAGACAAAAAAAGTATAGACAATTTCGGCAATTATGACTAAACACAATGTAATTTGAGTGATATTAATTAGAATAAAACTCAAACGAAAAAATTCTCAGAATATCTATGATAATGAAAATAATCTATGTATATCTATGATACACAGAATATCTATGATAATAACAATGATAACCTATGTATATCTATGATACACAGAATATCTATGATAATAACAATGATAATCTATGTATATTTATAATACACAGAATATCTATGATAATAACAATGATAATCTATGTATTTTTATGATACACAGAATATCTATGACAATAATATCTATGATAAGAATATCTACGATAATAATAATATCTATGATCACAATATAGTTATTTTGATAATTGCTCTTTTAAATTTTTTAACATAGAGTTTAACATTTTCAAATTTTTTAACATAGAGAGAGAGACATTTTTGACCATACTAACAAAATACTTAAACTGTGTAAATACTTAACTCCAAAATGAATCTAAACAAAGGTCCAAGAAAGAGATATCATTATTTGCTGAAAGTTTTTATAAAAAAATAAATTTTAACAGAAACAACTAGTTACTAATTGTTATAACATTATTGTTATTAGGTATTTATCATAATTTTAAAATACTCGCTTATAACAGGTACAAAATATAAACATTAGAAACTATATCTAAAAAGGACCTAAAGGAACATTTTAATTTATAGTTAAGTTATTATTAATCTTTATTCACTTATTCACTTATATTATTAAATTTTTTATAAAAATTAAATTTAATTAATTAATTTAGGCTAATGAAAATATTCAATTAATTTTAGACTTGATTACAAATAATTTGATTGCCTTTTAAATAAATTTAACTATTAGTATATTATATTTTATTAATTGATAATTGATTGAATTCAACTAGTTATTTTTAGTTGAATTAGCTGAATTTTTAACTATGCAAAAAAAAAACTCATACTAAAAATGATTTTAATAAACACCATTGATGTGTGGATTAATCACAGTATGATATCTGCGCGATAAAAAATATGACACACAAAAATTCAGTAACATTTTACAGAAAGCACTAGATGTCATTGTTAATAAATTAAATTTTGATAGCAATAAAATCAAATTAACTTGTATTATTCGGACTTAATATTAACTAAAACTAATAAAAACACTAAAATAATAACTACTAACTGAACATGTTATAAAATACAAGTTGGTGCAATTAATAATAAAAACTATTTCTCATTATTTATTATAATTAATAAAGTACAATCGGTATGAAGTTCTATAAAAATTCAATAACATTTTACTGAAAGCACTAGATGTCATTGTTAATAAATAAAATTTTAATTTTAATAGCAATAAGATCAGATTAACTTGTATTATTCGGACCTAATATTAACTAAAACTAATAAAAACACTAAAATAATAACTACTAACTGAATATGTAATAAAATACAAGTTGGTGTTTAATAATAAAAACTATTACTCATTATTTATTATAATTAATATAGTACAATCGGTATGAAGTAAACTTATATTTGTTTACATGAATGTCTAGACATTATTACAAAAACAACAGCAAAAAAAACTTTATATTTTGATAGGGTAACCAAAAATAGGTATAACAAATATACTACCAAGAAGCATAAACAAAATAAACCCTTACTTCAGTTGTAAATGTTCATAGTAATCTTGTTTTGCAACGATGAGAACAAAATGAAAGTTTTGCGGTTCTAACTGTGGGGAAAGGTTGCTGAGGAAAAAAGACACAGCCTCATATCTTTCAAACTATTTTTAAAGTCGACGGCAAGATAACGTGTAAATATAGTAGTTTAGGTAGATTCTCTGCCAACCACCCTCCCCACACAGAATGATTTTAATTCGCTTGAATACAGAAGAAAAAAAAAGATTTCAAATAGAACCTTGATTCACATTTTTGATAAGACATACTAAATGGATTTATTTTTTTGCTGGTTTGTTTTCGGTATGAAGAAAGCATTTGACACAAAACTTTATTGTACTTCCTTCAACTTTAATTAATTAATTATGTTTTAATAAATTTAACGAAATATAATACAAAAATTATTACTTTCGCTAAAAACAAACCGACAAAAATAAGCTTTTGAAAGCAAAAATTATAAGTAGTTTTCGAAAACGATTAAAATAAGTTTTTGAATACGATAACGCAAACGATCATAGTTATATCGCAAACGATAATAGTTAGATTATGCAAACGATATAACTAATTTTTAATAATTTTGATAAATAACAAGAATATTATTCTTCCCATAATGAATGTCATGTAAATGTTACTAGGAAAAGCCAAAATCCTTAGAATGAGGACAATGTTAACATTCACATATTAACTGTTATAAGTTCGAAATATTTTACAAATGTTGGCATTCACATGCACTGATAAACGTCTATTTTTAATTGTATATTTATTTAAATACTTGTCTATTTTTTAAATAATTATCACTAATAATTGTCTATTTTTTAAGTAATTGGTTCACTAAAAAATCACCAGAGTTAGATCGATAAAGAAAACTATGAACTACTTTTTTTTACAAAAAAAAAATAAATAACTACAGAAAGCAATAAGCAGTTTTTATAACAATAGATTAATCTAAAAATCTCTAAATATGTGTTTTGAACAATAAATCGAATTAAAAACTAAATCCTCAAAACAATAGCTAATTATAAAGTTAAAGTTCATATTTCTAAATGGAATGCTAAAAGACCTGATGCATTGATTTCAAAAGCAACTTTCAATGAGAAATATTTCTCAACATTTTTATAATTTACCTTAGCCTGATTCTCTAATTCTAGAAAACAAAACTCAAGTAATTCGAATCTTTCGTTTGTTTCTTCTAATTGTCTTTGTAGATGATGTGCCTGGAAAATAAAAAAGAGACAATGCCATTTGAATTTTATAAATAAAATTGCTATATAATTAATATTTTCTATAATTGAATTCTTGGCACATTCTCGTCTAACTATAATTTATTCTGTTTTAAAAAAGAGTTATATTTATTTTATAATGAAAAAATATTTGCATATAAAATTAGGAAGACAATGATTACTATTTTTGTTGTAAAGTAAGTGAATGAATATTTTTTATCAAAATGAAATTAAAAGTGCTTCGTATATATATTTTATTTTATTCCAGTTTAAATACAACCTATGTAGTTTAGTACTTTTTTAAAAATATTCCAACATGCAGTGTTTGACCATATTATTAGAAGCACTATAAGATTCTATGTAAAATTATAATTACCAGGTGATACTATACAGCTGTATTGTTTTTACACGGGTGAAACCGGTTTGCATTTGTGTTCGTTCTTGTATCAATTGGTTAACATTGTAATGCAATACGGTAAAAATAAATACAAATAGGAAGTATATAAGTGTATAAAAAATTTCTTGAATAAAAACACATTACATGAATGTTTAAATATAAAAGTATTGCATATAAACTCGTGCAAATCATGAAATTATTAAAAAAACTACAGTGCGTCTAATAATTTGATCTAATTATCATAATATACTAATCTAATGCCTGCTATAATAAATATTCCATATTTATAAAATATATCGTCTAAATTATATTATATATCGTCTAATTTAACCAATTGATACACTAACCTAAATAAGTACAAACCGGTTTCAATCACATAAAAACAATAAAGCAGAATAGTATCACCTGATAATTAAGATTTTACATAGAATCATAATGTTTTAAGAAATGTCTTCCCTCAGTTTCCAAAATTTTAAAAATAAATCAAAATCTTCAAAAATCCTGATAACAATGTACCAAGCATTTTGTTTAATTTACATTTTAAAACACAAATTGTTGCAAATTAATTTTCCAGTTAATTCTTTCAGTAAAAAATTATCAGCATATGTTACGCTTATATCAAATTTCAATTTTTTGCATCTAAACAATTAATTTCACAGTTACTAAAACGCTATTTATTGTAAAAATGTCATGCTATTGCACTAAAATTTTTATTTTGCCCCACAATTCACTTATACTTATAGGAAAATACATTATAAGTTCTAATTACAATACTTACTTTTGTTTTATAATGACTAACAAGTGCTTCCAATTTATTTTTTTCTTGAATCCATTTTAAAACATCCTGAAATTAGAGTAAAAATTTGTTGAATTATAACAAATTTCTAAAACAGCTCCTTGTCAAACAAAGAATTACATAGTTCTAAATGAATTTGCTTTTTTTCTCTACGTGACATTTAAGATTTCAAATGTATGACAAAAATGAATCATTTTTGTTGCGCAGTTTTGTTCCGTTTTTTGACTTCAAAAAAATAATAAAATTAGTGTTACAAAATATGTGATTTTGAAATTACAGAATACAGTGAAAGTTTGTAATTACAAAATAAATTTCATTGTACGCATGTATTACATTTTGCACTGACATTATACATTTGTATGTAAATGTAACGTAACAATAGTTCCTACAAACAAATTATGATAATAGATCAATATAATGATAATAGTAATTGCATCAGATACGTAACTTAATTTTTCAAATAAGTACTTATTGTTTGTATTATATTTATTTGTTATACACGGAGAAAAAAGTATGGTCAAAATTACCAGAATATGGTAAAATGTACAATGTTTCTGACTCTATAGGAACACAAAACCTGAAGTATTTTTTACCAAAGCTCTTTGGTATTACCAATAGTCATTGACCATTGGAAAAATTAACTATTAAATATGATTTTATTACCATGTTGTTTGGTAATAAATGTGGTAAAATTAATGATTTTAATAAAAAAAGTGGTAATTTAACAGTACTAGAATAATTTGAGCTGGCACGCAAATGTTTAGTTTGCTAACCTTTTTTTATTAAGTTAACACTTGTTAACTTTGTTTTTCGTTCATTATTTTATTTCTATGTAAGTTATAAGCTGACATTTACTAACCTTTAAGACTATAAAATATATGTATTTGTAAATATACAAATTCCTGGAATAGGCTTAACTAAATCAGTAGCTTAACTGTTACGCTGTCCCAACATCCTAAAATAAAGCGTAGAGGTAGCGAGTTCGATTACCTCCTCTCGACCTTGAAGTACATATATGTATTTATATTTATTTATTTATTTATGTTCATTTATATATATTTATTTACTTACACTTATTTATATATATATTTCTTCATTCATGTTTATTTATATTTATTTTTTTATTGTTACATATACATATGCAAGCTTGCATGTTCATTAAAAAATTTAGCCTATAAGCCCTTTTATAGTCTAATATCGATGCCACAAAAAAGAGAACAACTCAAACATATATCCAGGGACACCGTGGGGCGTCACGGACGGCGGTGATAGCGGATTGCGCTAATAATTTTCTAAAACATGGTGGACTGCGCTGCTAACATCTTATCCCCTTTGATAAAGGCTAAAGTTCTGGACTAAAAGCAACCCTTGTGCCCATCCCTCCTACTTCAATCATGCAGTAAAACATTTCCTGATAAAATCGTGGTAATTTAATCGCAGTCTGCCGAATAATGTTCGCCAGGAGCAAGTGTGCCGTTTTAAAATACAAACTATATTTAAACTACGAAGAAGATTTTCTTCTTTTAATGTTAAGGTGACAAGAGACGTTGAAAGTCTTGAAAATCGGTCTAAATTTTGATATGACCGATGTTATTTTTTCAAGAATAGAGGTTAAAAAGTTTAAAAAATGTATTCGATGCCCCCTTGTCGACTTAAGTTGTTAAAGAAGCAAAAGTTGGTTCTCAGTGCAATATTTGCTGCTCTGCTACAGACGCGAAATACCAAATTTTAATTGATTGGAAAAACTATAATTTAAAGTTATTGCGTTTTAGAGAATTTTGAACAATTTTAATCTATGTAAATCAAATTGAACCAAATTTCTGCTTAATATTTTTTTTAAAAATTATACACATAAAATTTATGAATTTTATGGTTCATCCAGGGAAAAGTTTATCACGATAACACTAACCAAAATCCACGGCCAAAAACTTATTTATTCTTACTCTTAAGCAATCTCGTGAATGAAACTGTGTTTCCCAATTTCAACTACAAAACACAAAATACTAAATTTAAAAAAATAATACATCTGAACATGTTCAAATCAACAAAAAAATTTTCGCAATAAATCAAAGTTGAAGAAAATAACACAACGTTGGCAAATAGATAAGCTCAACCATTCTTTCATTCCAAAATTTCTAATTTTTCATTCCACAATTGCAACATTCAATTACCAATATAAATAATAAAAATTTAATGATAAATGCAATACTATCAGTAAATGCATTCTAGTTGTAAATCTAATCCTTACTGCAAAAACCATACACATCTAAAGGTTAAAATTACCAAATGAATTGTAAAATGAATGACAGTTCTTAATTTTTGGTAATTTTTTCATGATAGCTTAGAGTATGGCATAAAAATCATGTATTCATTGGAAATATCATGGATTAAGGTGCACAAGTAATGGAAATCATTTGCTTATTTTATGTATATTCCAAGCCAACCAAAGAAGGATTTTACTTTGAAATTAAAATACGTTAAATTGGGATACACAGGATTGGATGAAAGAAAAATATTTCCCATGCGGAAATCATTTACAAATCTTCTATATCCCAAGATAACCTCAGAACAATGCTACTTTAAAATAAAATGCGTCAACTTGGAATGTACGAGATTGAATGATCAAAGTATTGTCGACAAAGGTGTCACGGATTATGGAAATCATTAACAAATCTTATGTATAATCCAAGCCAACCACAGAATAATTTTATTTTGAAAATAAAATACGTTAACTTGGGATGCAATAGATTGAATGATGAAAATATCACGGATAATGGAAATAAGTTACAAATTTTATATATCCAATTTAAAATTAAAATAATGTTACTTTGAAATGAAATGCATCAACTTGGAATATACGAGATTGAATGATGGAAATATTGTGAAGCCTGGTGTCATGGATAATGAAAATCAGTTGCAAATCTTATGCTTATTCCAAGCCAACCACAAAACAATGTTACTTTGAAATAAAATGAATCAGCATGGAATATTCGAGATTGAATGATGGAAATATTGTGGAGCAAAGTGTCAGGAATAATGAAAATCAGTTACAAATCTTATGCTTATTCCAAGCCAACCACAGAACAATGTTACTTTGAAATAGAAATCAACTTGGAATAAACAAGATTGAATGATGGAAATATTGTGAAGACTGGTGTCATGGATAATGAAAATCAGCTACAAATCTTATGTATATTCCATGTCAACCACAGAACAATGTTACTTTTAAATAAAAATCAACTTGGAATAAACAAGATTGAATGATGGAAATATCGTGAAGACTGGTGTCATGGATAATGAAAATCAGTTACAAATCTTAAGTATATTCCAAGCCAACCACAGAACAATGTTACTTTGAAGTAAAAATCAACTTGGAATAAACAAGATTGAATGATGGAAATATTGTGAAGCCTGGTGTCATGTATAATGAAAATCAGTTACAAATCTTATGTATATTCCAAGCCAACAACAGAACAATATTACTTTGAAATAAAAATCAACTTGGAATATGCAAGATTGAATGATGGAAATATCGTGAAGACTGGTGTCATGGATAATGAAAATCAGTTACAAATCTTATGTATATTCCAAACCAACCACAAAACTATGTTACTTCGAAATAAAATGAATCAGCATGGAATATACGAGATTGAATGATGGAAATATTGTTGAGCAAGGTGTCAGGAATAATGAAAATCAATTACAAATCTTATGTACATTCCAAACTAACCGCAGAATAATATTAATTTAAAATTAAATTATTGATTTAATGATAGACACGTGATTTCAAATGGAATTTAAGTTTAATAAAAGTCTCAAATCAATATTAGTTTTAAATGAAAAAGTTAAATGAATTCCATCACCTATCATGAAAGGGGACAATAACAAGCATTCTCTTTATCTGCCGAACATTTAATTGTTCTAACATAAATTATTTTGCTCATGTTTTTTACTGAGGTTAATCAATAAATAATCATATCCTAAGCTCTACAGAAGTAATCAAAAGTATTTTATTATAAAAATTAAATTACTGATTTAATGATAGACACGTGATTTCAAATGGAATTTAAGTTTAATAAAAGTCTCAAATCAATATTAATTTTAAATGAAAAAGTTAAATGAATTCCATCACCTTTCATGAAAGGGGACAATAGCAAGCATTCTCTTTATTTGCCGAACATTTAATTGTTCTAACATAAATTATTTTGCACATGTTTTTTACTGAGGTTAATCAGTAAATAATCATATCCTAAACTCTACAGAAGTAATCAAAAGTATTTTATGCTACTAAATGAACCAAAACATCACAAAATATACACCTAAATGTGTTTAGAATCTATTATATCTTCTTTTTTATGCTTTTTTTTGCGTTCTGAATGTTAAATTACAATAAGCTAGAAATCACAGTAATTGATTCACGCTCCAACGCTTTTTCCGCTCATTGGTGTTCCGAAATCATTAACAGCGAAGATACCTTTTCAGAGAAAGTTCATACTTTGTAAAAATGAGAATTCTTGTCAAATCAACGCTGAACTCATTAACTTGATTTTCATTTTAAGTGCACTGAACTCGTTACAAACATTGAAACTTTCTCACTTTTAAAAGCTAATCACTTAACCCGGAAGAACAGTTACAAAAACATTTAAGAACAGATACTACGTATCAAGAACTTATAAGGCGAGGCAAAAGAAAAGAACCTTACACTTCGAACACGATAAATAGATATCATTAACATTTTTATAGTTCTGTATCGGATTAAGTTTTTTTTTATTTCGCGACCTTCGTGTGAAACTCGTATTCCTAATAAACCATATGACTAATGAACAAAGTAAACGCAATATCATTTTTTTTTAACCTTTTTTGAAAGAAGTTTACTGTAGTATCTAGTTTAACATATTATAAATAAAAGATGGCTAAAATCATAAACTTGGCTAAAATATAACTAGTTTATGGTAAAAAGTTCACAGCTATTATTATCGTGCATGACTAGAATATTCAGATATTGCTTAAGGAAAATTTAGATTGTTTATATTAAAGTTTTCAAAATA